ACAGAGTGGACAGTTCACCTACATGCTTGTGGAGGAATTTGGTGCGACGACATACACGTTACTCTCACAGAGCGGATAGATGATAGTTGCCATTCCCCAGTACACCAGATGGGCTGCTATGGCGAAAACCTAGTATTACGAAAAAGATAAAAATTCACTTACGCTCGTGTCAAGGTGAAAAATAAAGGATCAACTGGATCCACCAGGATACCGACCTGAGATAAGGGAATATCTGTGTCTTGTGATAATGTTTGGAAGCTGGGAAAGCAAGAATTACCAAAGTTACTCGTTTGCTGAACAGTCACAGGTCACTCGACAAAAATCTAAAGTCAGAATTATTCAATTACAAAGTTTTACCGCTACAGGTAACAAAGGTATGCGAGGGGAGAGCGCACTGTTGCAGTGAATTTAGTTGATGAAATAAGGATCGAAAATAAATCTTATGGCTTATCATAGGTTGAAAAGGAAAAGGAAAAGGAAAAGGAAAGCGAGAAATAGAGAGCAGAGGGGAGAGAGGGATAAGGAGGGGAGGGAGGGGAGAGAAGGGAGGAAATAGAAAGGGAAAGGGAGACAAACAGAAGCAGAGCCAAGAGGGGAGGGGGAGAGAAGGGAGAAAAGGGAAAGGGAGACGAACAGAAGCAGAGCCGAAAGGAAGGGGAGGTAGGAAAAAAGAGGGGAAACAAGAAAAGCGGAGAAGAGGGGAGAGGCATGAAACAAAAGCAGAGCTGAGGGAGGGGAGAGAGAGAAGGGAGGAAAGGGAAAGGAAGACAAACAAAAGTAGAGCCCAGGGGGGGAAGGAGAGGTAGCATAGGGATGAGGAAGTGGATGGAACAGGCGGGGGGAAGGGATGAGCCTGCTTATACCAAAGAAAGTTGCAACAAAAGACTTGTTTAAACCTGTTTGCTTCCAACATACCACTTACTTCAATGCAAGGATAAGAAGCTGAGTCAATGTTCATTAAATAACATGTGCCTCCTTAGGCTTTACCTTTTCAGCGGACTGGCTATTCTCACCAGCCGTGTGATGGCTGGGGAACAGTCCCCAGCAAGGGAGGCTTGTAGATAACCCTTGTCTACAAGAAAAAGCAGGGTATGATATGGCCTGTATGATAAAAGAAAAAAAAAAAAAACCAACCTAAGTCAGTGGAAAGTAGATCAAGTTCTACATTCTCGTCTACCAGGATACCAATGTTGCCATAACATATCTTTACCATTCTGACGGTCATTGAAGAAGCTTAAAGTGGATTATCAACAACTTTCCTATTAAGTACTGTGAAAATGATGATGCCGAGGCAGGCAATCTTTTTTTTCCTTAATCAATAGAAAAATTCAAACCTGGAGGAAGGTGTACTAGTCCTGGAATGCGAGTAAATGTCTTCATAAAAAAAAGTAAATTCCATTATAAAAAAAAATTTTAATCGTGAAATTCTCAATGAAATTTGTTATCACACCTGATTACTGCAAGGGATTTGTGTATAGCTTCAGGCTGAAACAGAGAAAAATATAGGGACAAATTAAGGGTTGTACAAGAACAATAACTTCTTCTTCAGGCCATCTCATTTATCCTTACTACTAAGTTCAGCAGAGGATGTTTAAGAACCCACACAGTAAGTACTGGAGGGAACGAACAGTACAATGTTGGTGCACGTTGGTGTACAGTGGACAATTCTAACCTGATCAAACAAGTAAACAAAACAAACAAAGATCCCATTACAAGCAAAGCTGACTTTGCTCCAAAATACATAACCCCCACAAAACCCCACCAGCTTCTCAAGGTGTTCCATACCTTAATGTGAATGGTTCCCTGGTTCAAATTGTGAACTTTGTGTGGAAGGCAAAAGCTAACATTCACCCAGTCATTGATTTTCAGTCTTACAATTCCAGAAGCACACAAGCTGAAGTCAAACACAAGAAAAGAGAAGCATAGAGGAAACAAAACCAGACTAATGTCTTCACTCACAGTCTTCTTACAAAAATTATTACATGACTCGGGCAGTAAGAGGGCCAATAAATAATTATTATCAACCAATCAAAATGCTCTATTGCCGGTCCAATATTCTCTAAGTATTGGACTGGGCACTGTCCCGAATGATACTGCACTTGTGTCCCTTTGAACTTCAGTCGTATAATAAATCTCTTATTAACCAAGCTTGCTTGGGACCGTACTGGAAGAATATCAGCCCTTGGTCTTTTTTGTACGGACCTCGCTGCGCTCAGTCTGTACTGTCAAGACCTCAGGCCAATATTCTCCCAGTACGGCCCTCGCACTTGGTTAATAAGATATATGAATATAAGGCACAAGGGAATAAGCCCAACAGAGCAGTGTTATACCTTTCAAAA